CGAGGTCCTTGTAATCTGTGAGGTCAACCAAGGGTTGCCTCGCCTAAAAAATAAAAAAAATAAAAAAATAAAAAGAAAAGCCACAGGTGTCACTCTTGCCAAAGCCCATGATATTGAATTCAGACTTAATACCTGATCTAATTGCAGTTTCAACCTCTCCCAGAAACATAATCATAATCCACCAGTCTGGGATTTTTTGGTCAAGCACCAGAATGGTAATCTGTCACATAAGCCATCTCTTTCCCCAATAGAAAGAAGAGGCAATCTACATGATTAAAAAATCCTTCCTGTTCTTTTCACCCAAAGAATAGATGTCTGAGTCAAAACAGTCTTTTCTTTCCCCAGTAACTCCCTTTCCCCACTTTTCTTCCTATAAAATCCCTCCATTTTGTAAACCTTCTCAGAGCGCCCTTCTAGATAGGAGGCTGTCATGAATCACTTAATAAAGACGATTAGATCTTCACATTTACTTGGTTGAATTTTGTTTTTAACAAGTAAAAACATAAGGGAGGGACTTTAAGGGAAAATACTATGGAGCTGATAAATCAGTGATTCACTTATAGAGCAAGAATGGTGATGTTACCAGGCCAAAGTTCATGTGCCTGATGCTTTGACAGGCGAAAACTCAAAACATCAGAGTTTGAAGTAAGGAAAGGCTTATTGATCGAGAAGGTGCCAACCTAGAAGATGGGAGACCTAATGGTGCTTCAGATTCATCTTGCTCACTGGACTAGGTTAAGGGTTTTTAAGAGACTAGGGGAAACAGGTATGTGGAAGTGCTGGTGGGGCAACTTTTAATTGGAGGACCTTGGAACTTGGCCATTTATAGTAAAGGGGCATCAACACCGGATCTTCCTGGAGAGAGACCTTTGGCTTTCTGGAAAGGTTCCAGTGTTCAAGTTCTGGTTATGTCCTGCTCCTTTAGTTCCATGGAGGAGGGAAGTGAAACTTTTTTCCTCGTGCAGCTGGAGGTCAAAGTTTCTGTCCTCTGCGCGTGCTTGGGCTGCATGACTTGCGGTTTCGGTCTGTTGTCCCCGAAAAGCAACTCAGTATCTCATTCAACAGAATAGTACCATTTTGAGCTGGTTCTGCCCTTGCAGTGAGGTGCTGCAGCCCAGAAGCATTGGGTCCAGAAGAGTCACAGTCCCCAAGACTGCTGTCCCCTCATCGTGCCACACTTCCCTTATTTTCATGGCTACTTTCAGTCTAAGATGGGGAAAGACTTTGTACGAAGGTGCCCAGTTCAGTGTTGCAAATAAACAGGAAAAAACGCAAATATCCTCTGAGTTGTAAATGCAGAAGGAAATTGTAGAATAGACATGGCTGTAAAGATGTCAGTGTGGTTTCTGTGTGCATAGGGAAATGCGGGCTCATTCAGGCTGCCTTGGTTGCGCCCCATAACCCTGGGCTCCGAAACAGAGGGCGTGGTCCCAGAAAGGAATGGAGAAGTGCTGGGTGAGAGGCAGAAGTTCATCTGACTTGTACGTAGTTTTCATAGTTTGGCTGTATTACTTTAAAATGAAAAAGCATATCTATCCCTCACATAACTCTAGTTCATTCCTGCCTCTAAGTATAAAACTGCTGAATGAAAAAATATTTTCATAAATTTTATTGGGAAATATATGCATTCTATCCCAACTCAAAATACCTCCATATTTTTCACATATGGAAAAACAGATTAATGAAACACTGACAAAATAAGCAACAATGGAAAAGAAAGAAACACAGCTTGTACATAAAATGTAGGGACAGCTTGTTGCACCCCCAAGAAAAGAAAAGGAGTAATGGTGGGATGGGACAGAGATCAGTAGCAGTGCTGTGCCAGGTCATAGTGAAATTGGAAGGAAAAAGAAAAACCAGATTGTATCTTTATTTAAAATATTATTTGGTTCATTGTGATTTTTTTGCATTAATTTTGATTTTAAAAATTGCAGTGTTATTTATATCGGTTACTAAGATTTTTGATATCTCTTTGCAATTTGTTTTGAGGTAAGTGCCTCGCTTTCCTCACTCTAGTTCTGGCCCTGACCCAAACAGTTGTTATGTGAGGTAAGTCTATAATAAAAAAATAAAATATTTTTTTACCCATCTTATAATGGTCTCCCCACCTGAAAAAAAAAAAAAAAATGAAAACTTTGTATCATGTGTTCTTTCCGCTACCTGAAGAACTCCTACATAGTCTTCAATGCCCCCTCTCACTGCAGCAGAATGAGGAACCCAAGACAGGGTGAGGCTGCCATCTGGCCACTGGCATCACAAAGTTAGGAGTGCCCTTGCCAGGCCTCTGGGCAGCCTTAGACTCTGGAGCAGACATTTTGAAGGCATAAAAATTTCTCACCTTGGGAAATGTCAATACCAGAGGCCTCAGAGGGAGGGACTTCTGAAAGAAAAGACCCTGGGGCTAACCCTTAGGCCTCAGAGTTTCTGCCTCTGAGCCAAGAAAACACCCTCAGGCAATACGTCCCTATCAGCCGGCTAAGATTTGAGAGCTGCACTGGCACTCTGCACCTGGGGCTTTGTCACCTGCCTTCCTTGTCTGGGAAGCAGCAGGATGCCCGGTACCTGAGTCCAGAGACTTGGGCTGGAACTCAGCATCTGGCTTTGAGCAAATCACAGAATCTCTCTCTCAGAGCCCCAGTTTTCTTAGTCTAAGTGGGAGCAACAACACCAAGCACCCAAAGCTGGTGTGAAAATTAAATAGGGGCAATGAGGAAGCTCCCAGCCAGTGTGGGGGTCAACCAATGTGAACTTCAATGTGAATTTCCATGCTCTCTTGGAAGATATAACAAGAAATTTGGGCAGATTTTGAAACCTTTCTTTAGGTGGAGAATAAAGAGGTTCTACAGAAAGTTAATCTCACAGGGTCATCTGATCATAAATTCCTAACTGGGCAGGTCATGGTGGGTAGTTATGCCCCAGGCATAGAACTTCTTTAGTGAAAGATTTTTAAGACAGCCCTGTCCATTGTTCTTGGACATTTAGGTTATATATCTTTGAGTTGCCAGAAGTAATATCCCTCGAAGGCATAACTTCCCTTAGGAAAGTGCACAATCTTGTTAACTATGCTGTAATCTAGTCCCTGCCTTGCTTTCTCTCACCTCCATGTAATCTTCCTTATGTTCTCTTGTAATTTTATGTACATAAAAGAAGGTGCAGAATTGTTATTCTCTGGAGCATTGGAAATCTTGCTCCTGGCATATGTTATCAGTCTGACTCAAACTCATAAAAATTCTCTAGAGGTTTGGATGTTTTTATATCTATAGAGCATTTTAGAGACACGTGTTCTTTACATTCTGTCCCAATTCCTTGGCCCTCAAACTTTGTTGGTCACCAAACCTTGTTGATTTTACCCTTTCAGTAGCTGCTGCTCCGTCTCCACTTTTCTGTCCTCACTGCCATAGTCCTAAGTCAGGGCCCTGCCTCCTTGCCGCCCATTCTCACTGCCCTGTTGGTTTCTTTCAGGCAGATACTGAGCCTGGGTCTCCCTCCAGGAAAGCCTCTACACACACTTCATTCCTGAGCACAACCCGCTGGCTGTTCCTGATACCTAAGCCGTTCTGCAGACACCTGACTCATATCCCAGCCTTCCTTGCCTCAGTTTCTAGATGTAAGCTGAAGTACTAGATGTGATCTCTGCTTTATTCCTTGAAAGGCACACACCTGCCCCTTCCCTTTCTTTTCCTCTAATTGGCTGGAATAAGGATGTGTGCAGGAGCTATTTTGAGCAGCCATTTTGGACTATGGGCTGGAAAGCTCATGCTTCAGGCTGAAGGTTCAGGAGAGTGGAATATGGCAGGAGAAAGAGGTAGGATGCCTCCTTCCTGCTAGCCTCCATCTTGGTCATGGCCATGTTCTTTATCTGAAGCCCCAGCCTGGCAGGTGCCCACCTATCACAGGGGCAGCTCTCTCTGTCCAGCAACACTCCCTCCAGTCAGGGCTGTCAGCTCCCCGCTGTGGCTGGTCCAGTGCTGCATCTGCCCCACAGGCTCCCTTCACTAGCCTATCCTTGGTTGGGTGCTGCTGAGGGTGCCCTAGGTTTCCTACAGCAGTCCTGAAAGTCCCAGTTCTAGGACCATCTTCCACCTCTAAGTCTTGCCTTGAGACCCCTTGGCTGCAGGCCCTGTGCGCCCCACTCCCACTTATCCCCTCACTCTCCCGCAGGGCTGCCTCTAGAAAACATGCTGGCATGCTGGGCTGGACCTACTGTGCGCTCTCTTCTTGCCCCTTTGCTGTTAGATGCTTGAATGGCAAGTTTGTGTCACGATGTCTTCATTTTGTGGGGCAGCCTCAGGGCCAGGCATAGTGCCTGGCAGGCACATCCTGGGTGCTCAGTGGGGAGGTTCTGATAGTCTCGAATGCTCACAAGGTACAAGGATGGCCAGGTTTGACTCAAGCTTAGAATTTGGTCAGGTATAAGTAGAAAAGGAGGACCTGGAGGGAGCAGACTGTCCTTCAGGTCTATAACTGTTGGAAGGACCTCTGCACAGAGGACAGAGCCAGGGCAGGGCCAGCTCCAGCCATGCTCCTATGTGTACGAGGCCCAGTGGAGAATGTCTGTGCGGGGCCTTTGCCCAGAAATACTTGAGAATTTCAAGACAACAATGTCAGAGCACTAAACAAAACATGGGGCCTTCTGAGTGTGGACTGCATGGTTTGCTCACATACAAAGTTAACCCTGCATTTATAACCCAGTGCCAAACTCAGTGCCTGGCCCAGACATGACATTCGTCCCTCCCTCTCCTACCCCTTCCCACTTTCTCTCTCCTTCCCTCCCTCACTGGACAGATGTTTTTCAAGGACCCCCTGGAAATCAGGCAGAGGTCTAATGTGAGGTGGCCAAGTCTGCAACATAACTGAATGCATGCAGTCCGCTCCTGGGGCAGAAGTCAAGTTCACAGATATGGGTTTGTATAAGATGACTGGCTCAGCCCAGTGCTGCTCAGTGCTGCTCTCTCTGCAGGGACTGTCATAGTTTCAGATCAGACAGACAGACAACACCATTCAGAAAACGTCTGGTTTATTAGGATTAGCTGTGGCATACATTGGTTTAATAGTTCTAAACTGATACGCGTATATCTACTAACAACATACACGTAGGGGTATGTCAGGCGGCAGTGACAATAGCAAACAGGTGAATTGCTTGGAAAATCATTGTGATCCTAATGGGTTTATGTTAGCAATGGCAAGTGAAAGAAAAGGTAGCTTGGGGCCTTGCCATGGAGTGCCAAGCAGAGCCAGGTAGGTGTTCAGAGCACCCTTTCATGTCCTTGCTATGAGCCCCAATGTCCCCCAGAAGCTGAGCAGGAAAGCTGGGGTCATCACTGGGTGGCAGGGAGGCTGCCCATCCACCCTCTATCCCTGCAAAGGAATGAGGCCTGGTGGGGTTAGGACTCCCACTGGCTGCTGGTGGCATCTTTGCCTAGAAAGATTTTCAGGGATAAAACCCATTTCTCTAATGGACCAGCATAACCTCTGGGTTACAGGGGAAGGTGGTGTGTTCACATCAGTACTTGGGCCTAGTATCCTGATTTATCTGAACTGCCAGTTGAGTGTGAGTTAGCTGCATCTCCAGAGTCTCCTCCCCGCCCAGCCATTTTCCTCCTCTCACATTTTCAAGGCCAGGCTGTGTGTGACCTAGCTTCCTTTCCAAACCCAGCTCTTCTGTTCCACTGCCATGGCACGACTTTGAAGCTCTGGATGGTAGCACAGGGCTGTCAACTTTGAGAATGAACTCAACTGGAGACTCACACAGTTTTCCTGGAGTACCCTAGGTAAGACTCCAGACACAGCTGATGTCTGGCTCCTACCCTTGCTCCTCATTCAGCTGGCAGGCGTGGCATGGTTCCTTCTCCTAGATTACGAGTCAGTCTCGGTTTAAAATATATATTTTTTTCTTTTAACATAGGTGATTCTTTAACTAGATATGTAAATGCGACTGAATTTATCTCTATAAGAGATTACATACACATAAATTCATGCATCCAAAATATTCTTGGTTAAACCATGTACCTGATAAGTAATTTGGGGAGTGGTGTTGCTGTCACATGCTTCTGGGAGAGGTGGGAGGGTGGGAGGCATGGGGACTTTGCGTGACCTGAGCTATCAGCTCCAGCAAGAATTCCAGGTCTGAGCTCAGTGTCTTGCAGGTTTGAAAGTTTGCAGTATAGTTTCTGCTTTTCCTTAGCTGAGGAGCACAAACTTTCACACAGCTGCCCAACTTCTGACAACAGGCACTGACCTTCTCTCTTAGTGCATTTCTTACATTTTTCTCCCTCAGAGAGAAACCAGAGGAATAAGATGGGACAATGGAAGAGGCTCTCTGTGGGAACCTGGGCCTTGCCCACCAAGGGGTGGGTGCCTGGGCAGTTTGCCTCTCCTGAGAGGCAGGGACAGGAGAACACAAGCTTTGGCCCTGGGCAAGCATGACTGGGCTGCCTGTTGGAGGGGGACCAGTTCCAGCTCTGCCATGATGTGGGCAGATCCCTGGAGGGAGGGTGGAGAGGCTCTCCTCTCCAGGGCCTAGAAAAATCTCCCGAAGAACAGGGTGTGGGTGAGGGGCTGCATTTCCACTGTGGAAGAAGAATGGGGGCCCCAACTCCTAGTGTCAGAGGCCCTGGCAGGAGAGTGGCTGCCTCTTCTACAGCCTGAGGCCCCTGCCTGCAGCTTCCATGGGGTTCAACACAGAGCAGGAGCCCCCCAACGGCCCTGTGTGCCTGTCCCTCTCCATGGTCATGGTTGTACTAAGGAGCTTCACGAGGTCACACTGTGTCCCATTGAGAGTGAAGGTATTCCCGTGGTGGGCAGTGATCTCCATTTATTGCTGGCTCTAAGTGAGGGCCATGGGCTGTCAGGGTTGGCACCTGAGAAAGGTTGGTCAGGTGCTGCGGGGCCTCGGCTGGGAAAAGTCAGCCCTGTCAGCCAGCCTCACCTGCCTATACTGCTGTGGCCTCAGGGCCACTGAGTTGAGACTCCCTTCTCCTGCCACCAGGGGTAGCTGTGCTATCAGCACTGAGCTCCCAGGGTGGCTGTGGGCCCAGGCTGGTGGAGACCAGAGAGAAGTCTGCTATCACCAATGCTGGTGCTCCAGGCCCTGCCTCCTGGAGGCTGTGCCTTGGCACCTTGAGCACAATCCTGTGCAGAAGTATCATCCAAGCCCCTTGGTCCTACCCACCCAAATAGTCTCTACGTTAGAGTATATGTTATATATTAGACATTTCCTTTTCAATACAATCATCCTCTCATAATGTCTTGGAAAAATTTGAGTCACACAAAGGCAGGCAACCCCTTAATACACAGCTCTCAGTGAGCAGCCTCAGGCTCCCTGGTGGGAAGGAAGCGGGAGTCTTCCGTCAGCTTCTGTCCCTGTGCCCCAAAGCCTAGCTCTTGCTGACAAGGAGCTGACAAGGATCATGGAGGGCTATGCATTCCGAGGGCACATGAGTCTGCCCAGGAAGCTGACGCCAGCTACTCCATCCCACCACAGCCAGAGAAAGGCCACAGAGTGAGGCTGGTGGGGAGGTGTGAGGGTGGGGATTGGAGAGGTGGGAAGGAGGGGATTCCTCCAATTATTGCGGCCAGGTGTCAGGGAACACCAGGAATTCCTGGAAACCTTGAGGGAGCTAGGAGAGGCAGGGCAGAGACTGCGCTCTGTTTTAAGGTCATTTCAACCCTGGAAAACTGCCTTTGACCCTTCTCTGTTTTAGCATAAAGTCTCTACCTTTTAAGATAGATCCAGTGATGGTCAGCATAACATAAGACAAGGATGTCTTTTTTTTTTTTCTTTAGTAAATTATGCTAGAGATTCCTCCAATTTGTGATTTTTTTTTTTTTGCAAGTCACATCTAAGAAGCCAGCTTCTGCCCTTCTTCTGCCCACTTCCCCAATTGTGGGACAGCTGCCCAGTCAGTGCCCTCAGGGTGGAGACCCTGTTCTCACTGCTGCTGTCCTTTGAGAGACCCACATGTTTATTTCATGGAAGACAGAGTTGGTTACTTCAGGAAGCTCTTTGTGGAGAACATGGTAGGCACCTTCGTAAATCTGTAATTAGATGAGACAGGAAATCAGGGCTACAGGAAGCAACAGGTGCAAGGAGGGAGGCCACGGGCAGCGGACAGAGTCCCCCAGACTCTTCTCATGCCCCTCTGGACTCCTGTCTTTCATGGTGCCAATGCTGTTTGATCAAATTAATTAAAATGTCCCAATATGTTCTAGCACTTCCTTTCTTAAATCAACACTCACCTTCTCTTTACTCTGCTTCTTTCTCCATCCGTGGACATGGTCGGTGCCTCCCTCAAAAAGGTGGTTTCTATTCCCTGTCTTCACTTCCTTGCCTTCCACTTGGACCTTAACTGATCCCAGTCTACTTCCACTCCCACCAACCCACAGCAACTGTTCTTGGTACAGGCTCCAAAGACATTCAGTCCCTGTAGCCAGGCAACATTTTTGCTCTCATATTGACTTTTAAGCATCAGTCAAAAGCTGTTAACTGTCTAGAAATACTCTCCTGTGTTTTCTTTCCATTCTTTTCTAAAATTTCCAGTGGACTCTCTAACAGGTACCTCAAAATGGAACTCCTGACATTCCCCACATCTGTGTCTTCCTGTGTCCCCCAGCTCAGGTAGGGTGGCACAGCCTCCTCACTGGTGTGGGCCCCAGCTCAGGATTCACCCTTCATCACTTGATCTCCCTACAGTCACTGTCTCTCCAGGTCCTGCCAGGCTGTCCCCTACCTTCGCTACCACCACCTCAGGCCAAGCTCATCCTCTTGGCCTGGGTGACAACAACATCCTCCCACCTGGTGTCCCTGTCTTCGCTCTTGTCTCCATGTGGCAGCTAGCGGATGCTTTGAGAACTGGAGTCAGAGTACGCTGTTCTCCAGCTCAGAATGCTCTGGTCACTTCCTTATTGAACTAAGAAAAAGTCTGGACTCCTCTTCTGCTTCCAGGCCCTCCCCTGTCATACACCGCCCTTACCCTGCTCAGCGCACTCCCACCACAAACGGTCTCCTGATTGCTTGCATACACCAAGAACTTTGTGACTCTGGTCTTTGAACTTGCCCTTCCCTTAGTCTGGAATGTTCTTCCACCCTTCTAGTCACTGTCACTCAGGCTTGCTGGCCCATCTGAAGTAGGTGCTTCGCCTCTTCTCTGGTTGCCCTTTCCCCACTCTCTGCTTAATTTGCTTTAGGGCACTGATCCTCTGCATCATCATCATCCTGTCTGGTTGTTTGTTGCTCATCTTGTTAGGACATAGACTACGTGGGAAGGTTGGGACTTTGCCTGTCTTGTTCTCCTGGTACAAAGTCAATGCCCAATGAAAACTTGGATTAAAAAAATAAATGAATGAATGGAGAGTGAATGGACAAATGAGCACTCTGCATGGCCTCCTTTTGTAGGGTCACCAAGGTTCCATGCCAGTGAAGGGCATGATCTTTGAGGTGCCTTCACCCAAACTGCAAAGTACCCATGGTGTTTTATACTCTCCAGCATTAAAAAGAGCCAGTTTTACTTTTTTCCTTTTTCTCCTCCTTTCTCCTTCATTGATGAGTCTATATCTGGTAGTGGTAAAGGCCAGGGCCTGCAATTCACAATAGTGTGACGGGAGCACTTGACAGTTTGCAAAGACATGAGAGTCTTTGTCAGCACAGTGAGGAACGGAGAGGGCCAGGGCATTCAGATCAGAGGGTGTGAGTTTGAATCCTGACCCCATTGTTCGGTAAGTGTGGCATCTGTAGTAAGTTGCCTCTTCTCTTTATAACTTAGCAGGAAATGGCCCTGGACTCGGGGCTTCCATGTGCCCACTGAACAGGCCACAGTGACATAGTCTGGGGACACATCCATTCATCAGGCTGTGGTCTCACAAAGTGACCACAAAGAGCCACCTTCAGAGTCAACTGTCACTTGACAGGTACACGGTAGGTGCTCTTCCTCCTTCCTATCCCCTCAGCTGGGGCTCTTGCCTGTTCAATCGGAAAAAACAAAAACAGGAATATCTGGACCCTAAAACCATATTTTCCATCTCGAAAGGCCCTCCAACTTAGTCTACTGTAGTGTGTGTGTCTGACAGGCTATGTGGCTAAGCCTCAGGTCCCACTCCCTCTACAGGACACGCTCTCGCAGATTCCCTTGCAGACCAGACCCTGCCATGTCCCACTGCACCTGTGCACTCAGAGCCCTTCGTGGTGGCAGCTGGTCCTCAGCTGCTGCTGCTGGTGCAGAGAACCAACCCGCGGGGAGGCTGGGCTGCCACACACCTTTGGACCTTGGACATGACAAAGCAGGAGACATGTTCTTAGAGACTTTCTTTGCCCAGCGCCCAGTTGTGGGTTTTTTTCTTGACCAGGACACCTTCTGAGTTTCTTCTTTTCAAGCTTGTTCATGCAAACAATCTGCTAATGGCCTGTGTGCTTGCTTAGAATTAACAGCCGCCTCTATTCCTGTTACTTATTTCCTAATAGAGCCAGGCTGGCCCCATCCTGAGACGCCTCGCCTGGGGATGGCTCTGGGAGTTCTGAGCAGATGCGCCCAAAGGAACCCCACCTTCCCTAACTAAGGGAAATGAGGGGGGCAGCTGTTCACCTTGAGTGTCTTGTCCTGGCTCTTGGCAGACTCCATAAGTAAGTAGGCCCCTTTGCTGTCGCACAGGCGGTCAGCAGAACCCTGGAGCAGCAGGAAGGGCAAAGTCAGCTTGGGGAGTGCCCGTTCCACTCGCGAGACAGCATTGAGCAGCTGGATTCCAAAGCACACTTTCAGTCCAGCCCGACAAATAAGGGGGTCCGTGTTATAAAGGTCAACCTGGAGAGAAAAAGAGAGAGGGTTCTACCAGTTCATGGGCAGAGGACTCCCCTATTTCCTGTTAGCTCTTCCTTCTGCTCTGGCCTGAAGAGCTGATTCTATATAGTCAGCTTGGTCTGGGGCACAGTTGCCAAGAGCCAGCAGTGTGGCCAGCCCCGTTTCATGACACAGACCTATACTACTTTCAATATCTCTCTTCGCAGGTTTTGTTCTGTGCATTCCACATTCATACATGTGCCTGTAGACAGTTTCAAGAATTAATTTACATATATTTTTATATAGGCAGCATCATATTCTTCACTTTGATTATTTCATTCAGGAATAGCTCTGAAGATGTTTTGGTGTTAGCCTGTGTGGATTCTGTTTTCTCGAAGTCTCTCTCTCCTGACTTGGTGTTCACCTGGTAGAAGTGAGTGAGGGGCATGCCTAAAATGCAGGGGCAATGGGGGCCATGCTGGAAGGCATGTAGTTAGTTCAAAGTGTCCCTGAGGCGCTTTGGCAGGGCACCACACCAGGGGTTTCAGGAGGAGTGAAGTCCAGGGCAGGTGTGGGCTATGGTGGGCTCCACCCTCCATGTTCTCTGGGCTGCAGGCAGCTGTCTGTCACTCTGACAGGGACACCTGCTGCCTCTCTAGGGGACATGCCCAGGGGCTGAGTCCTCCCTCCTCAATCATCAGTCTGCCTGGGCCCAACCTTTCATGAGATTACCCTGATGACCTATCCTTGTTCTCGTTGGCTTTACTCCTCCTGCCTCTAAGGAGACAGTGACTTGCCTGCTCACTGTGGCCCCAGATAGGGGACTGGTCCCACAAAATCTAGGTGAGAAGTCTCTAGAACTCTCTCGGGCCCATATGGGCAAATGTGAGACCACAACTCCCCTTCTTTCATTCCCTCATCTTTGCCAGTGGATTTTCGGCTAGTTGGAGAAGTGCCACATGGTGTTGGAACTGGGTAAGAGAGCAGAGGGACCACGGGAACAAGGACCGCAGGGATAGCTGGAAGGAAATGTGCTTCCAGCTGTCCCATGAGGCTACTGCTGTCCACGGAGTTCCAATCTGATTCTCCAAGGGTAGAGGCTACACCTCTCTTCTGTTACCACTCAACAGAGCCTAGGCCATAATTCCAGATTCATGTTAAGAGGAGACAGGCTATTCTGGGTCACCCCTGCCATTTCTGATTCCTCCCATTCTGGGCACCACGCAGGCAAACAAGACCGTTTGTAAAAAATAACCACATGAGATGGATTAGCCACTTCTTGCAGCGGAGCTGGTATGAATCCTACAGGGCCAGGCCATCTGTTTGGGGGCTGAGAAAAGACTGGCAGTGGAAGTACATGGGCAGTGCATGGTCACAGCAGTTGCTCATCCAGAGTCTGCAAGGAGCCTTGTTTGGGAAAAGAGCCCCGGGCTTAGAGTCTGTTGAGAACTGAGGCTCACAACAAAACAATGGCAACTGCAGCACCACTTGCTAAACACATACTTTATGCCTAACATGGTGCCAGGGCATCATGTGTACAATCTCATTTAGTGAAAAGAAATAAGAATAGCTAACATTTCTGAGCTCTTTCTTCCTATGTGCGTCTACCAAGTATTTAACCCAGTTAACCTTCATAACTTTCATAAGTACTCTGTCTGAGGAATGGCTCTCATTATCTCTGTTTTGCAGAGGAGGAACCTGGTTGTTATTCGTTACCTAGTTCCTGTTCTCCCCTATATAACCCTGGATGTTTCATTTAGAACAGAGCCACCCAGAATAAAGACTACATTTCCCAGTCTCCCTGGCAGTTAGGTGTGGCACCACATTCTGGGAAGTGAGGAATGGGAAGTGAGCAGCAGCACAGTGTGCACCCTCTGGTCAAGGCTTGTCTTCTTTCCCTCCTCCCACCTACCAGAACACAGGCAGTTGGAGTCCCATGACCGAGGGCTGCACTCCAGAAACAGCAAGCAACAAGATGAGCTGGAGCATGTGGGGCTGGTGACACTGAGGTCACTGTGCAGAGAAATAAGCTTCTTTCCTGCTTAAGTCCCTGTCACTGGGGTCTGGGTCTAGGCAGGCTGGTAGCCCTGCTAACGGCATTCCCTTCGATGACGCTGGGCCCTGATTGCAGGGGATGTGTCCTTATGAGTGCACAAGGCCAGAGCTCACTAGACCACCTCCTTCCTGAAGTGGTCTTCCACCTTGCCCTGCTGACCTGAAACATCCTGGCCACAGGAGGCCCCTTGGGGAGTCTGCTCTTGGGCTTAATTGCTCTGACAGCCAAAGTGGCTTTCTGTTCTTGGCTTCATTTTCCACTGATTACACAATGGCTGGTTCTGGGCCTGGGGAAGGAGCCAACAGATGTGTCGGGGAAAGGGCAAGACCCTGGTACGAGCCACGGCCAAGGTGGGAGGTGAGGGATAGAGGGAAAATGGGGTTTGGAGAGAAGAGGGAGGCCACACCTAGTGGGGAAACTGAGGCTCAGAGGGCCCAAACCCTTCCCTTAAGTAACCATTCTGGTACAATCATTGCGGCTTTTCTTTTTTTTGAGAACAAAGATATAAATTGACCAAAAGTCTTCTTTGCGGGGTGAGAATGTGTCCTGTTGCCCCCAGGAAAGAGGTGGACAGGGCTCTCTCTCCTTGACCAGGCCCCAGCCCAGACCATTGATCAACTAACAAGCCCATTCAAAACCAAAGCTGAAAATGTCAATGTTAAAAGATGACTTTCTGTACAATTCCATTTCTATGATGTTCTTGAAATGACGAAATTAGGAAAATGATGCATAGAAGCATGATTGTCAGGGGTGAGCAGGAGGAAGTGGGCATGCTATACAAGGGCAACATGAGAGATTTTTGTGGTGATGGGATGTTCTGTGGCTAGACTATACTGATATCAATTTCCTGGTTATGATATTGTCCTCTAGCTTTGTAAGATGTCAGCATTGGGGAGAACTGGGTAAAGGGCCCATGGGATCCCTCTGTATTATTTTTTCACAAATACATGTGAATCACAATTATCTGAAAACAAAAAGTTTACTTAAAAACATATAACAAAGATCCAGTCTTTGGCGCTATCTCTTGTAACCCCTCCACCCATTTTTTTTGGATCACAACTGTTCCTGCTAGCTGAGAACAGCATCTGTTGGGGACATGTCAGCTGGCGGCTGTGGGTCTGGGTGCAAGGGACCACATTTTTGCTGCAGATGACTGACCCCTGGGAATGCCTCTATTGGTTGAGACTGGAAATCTTTTTTTTGAGGGGAGGGTCAACCGATGATTTGAGGGAGACCAGAGAAGTGAGGAGCACCCAGCCATGATCTGGACAGGGCTTTTCTTTCCTAGACTCAGTGTGCTGCTTTGTGAAATGGGGCGATAGTGAAAGTGCCTCAGAGGACGCTAGGGAGATTCCATAAGATGATGTAGCCACAGTACCAAGCCCAGGGTCTGGACCTACAACAAGATTGATGATATGTGGTTGCATCTGAATCTCACACTGAGAACAAAGGGAAGAGAGCCACTTCACGACCTCTCGGAGGCCTCTCTGCCTCAGAGACGCCAAGCCACATGACCTTAGGTGAGGCCCTACTTCTGGGCTTCAGTTTTCCCACTAAGGGGACCTCGGGGGTTCCTCCTGGGTTTTAAGTTTCACAGGCTGTGAATGTTTTCCTGGCCTCCTGTACGTGTTTTAGCGATACTCTAGTATCTTCTCTGTTTTCTGAGGTTCTGAGAGCTCTCAACAGTGTTGAATTTGACAGGCAGGAACATGCCAACTGGGACTTCTGACTTTTGAACACTGTCTCTCTGTGCAAAAGAAACTTTGCCTTAAAGCACAGTAAATGTGTCTGCAATCCACAGCTGAGAGTTTTCTTAAACTTGGTTGAGCAAAATCTAGGCACCACCCCTACAGTCAAATCTTCTGACCTATGCTCTGCTACCTGCCTAAGGAAGAGAAAGCAAAGGTGAGTCCCGTGTACTCACAGGATAGCCAGGAGCTGTGGAGGTGGCACTCCTCAGAAAAGAAAAGCGTGGATCCCAGGTGAGGACCATAAACATCTAGGCCTGACACATAGTGAAATGACTTAGTGGGTCTCACAGGTTGCCATCCTTCACAGACTGCTAAAGGGGATGGGGCACCCTTCTGGGCACAGACAGACATGTGCCCTCCTCACATGACATTGTTTCCTACTTCGCAGAGAAATATAGCTCAGTAGGCCTAATCTCCTGCAGTTTCCCCTCAGGTATCTACATGTTTCTACAGCTATGTTCTCCTGACCCTCATTCTCTCCGGTCTCCTCCCTTTTCTTATGGAAGCCTCACCCTTCCACCTGTGCTTTGGAGCCCATTCCAGGATTCCTACCTCCTTCTCCATTGCTTAGCTCTTTCTTAATCCATCCATTTCATCACAGGGAAATTGGATAGCCTTCTCTGGCATAGTGGAAAGAGTACATAGCAACTCTACCCAAGTGATCTCTGTGAAACCTAGAAACCTATGGGAACTCTACAATGAATGGGCATGTCTTTGCAGAGACAATCTCTTCCATTCCCCACCTTTGTTTTGAATGGCAATTTGTTGTGGAAAGACTTGGATAATAGAAAATCTTCTCCTATGTACAGTGGTTTCTATTGCCATCTCAAGTGAGTTTTCCAGCCCCTTGCTCTTAGACTAATTAACATCTAGTCCTCTTTAGGACCTCAGCTCAGACTTCACCCCTTCAGGGAGGTCTTCATGACTCCCCAGGCTCTTGTGGCTAGCAGCCCTTCTCTGGCCCCACATTCACCTTGGTCTTCAAACAGGTGTTTGTGCTCCTGCCCGTCCCTGACTCAGAGTGTCAGGCCCTGGGGCAGGGCTCTGTCTATCCTACTTTTGCTGTGTCCTGGCACAGGAGGCTCTCAGTAAATACTGGCTAAATGAATGAATGAGCTAACCTTTCTCTAGCCCAGCCTGAGAAGCAGCACCTTGGCACTAGGAGCCCTGCATAGACCAGATGGAAGCTGGAACCTCTGCACTGGGCTAACTGGCTG